TCGGTAGCTTTAGGTCCAGCCATACAGACACACTGGAGCTCATTCATTACCACAACCTGTCCCCCTCTACGCTCTGTGCCCCATACTCTGCCACCTCCCTCCCCCAGCTACCCAGCTAGCTACCCATCCACACACACACACACACACACACACACACACACACACAACACACACACAACACACACATCACACAACACTCACACTCACTCACACCCACACACACACGACACACTACACACTCACACACACCCAGACACACACTCTGAGGCTCTCAGGCATGCAGGCACACAATGTTGTTTCGGGCCACCCACCAGATGTGCAGCTTGGCTTGGTGAGTCAGAAATTATTGGACAGGGAAAGCAGTGAGCTTCAAGCGGGCAGCCCTACAGAGGCATGGAAATCTGCCCCATGTCAAACTGTAGCAGAATTAATGACAGAACCTGTGGATTTGAATGTTCAGCTGAAAGTCTGACTAAGCAGAGGAACAGTCCACATGACAAATCATCACCTGACAAAGTGCTACTTTGATGTCTTTTATTATCAGTCAGACATGAACTTGGAATATAAAATATATAATACAAAATTACAAGTACAGTACAGAGTACAAGTGACATCTTCAAAGAACGATCTGTAAGTGCAAATTTACAGTGTATCTTTAACTAAAAACATATTATATATACAGTGATTTAATTGGTGATTATCAAAATGGTTGCCAATTAGTTTTCTTTCAAGTAATTGATAACTTTACTGAGTTTCCTATCTAATTTTAATACAATAACAACCTCTTAACTTGTTATCTTTAGCATTATATTAAAAAGTACATGTATTCTGTTCAACAGGCATTGTCGCATATTCAAGGGGCAGAAAGTGAAAAACTAGAATTTAGAAAATTACTATTAAGACATTTTCATTACAATAGCTTTTATCAGCATCCACTCATAAGCAAGAACGTGTATGAACAGTTAAGACAACTGAGCAGAAAATGTTCTGTGTGTCTCTCCTCTCCAGTGGGCCTCCTGGGGCTGCTCAAGTGGAGGACTCGACCTGAACTTCTCAAAGAAAACCTGGAGAAACTCAAAATCATCGATGGAGAGGAGGTGGTCAAGGTCAGTGGTATGAAGTGTGTCTTTGCATATAATTGGTGTGTGTGCGAGCTCTCACCGAACCTCTCCTTTGTCTTTGTGTATGTGTGTAGTTTCTGCAGGACACTCTGGATGCCTTGTTCAACATCATGATGGAACACTCTCAGACTGATGACTATGACATCCTTGTGTTTGATGCCTTGGTGAGTATGTGTGTGTGTGTATGTGTGTGTTTACCCAGCAAATACTTGTGTGTGTGTGACTGTGCGTGTACCTTGTCAACAGATGCAGCTGATTTTTTGACAGGCTGCCTGTGTGTGTATCGAGCCTGACATCTTTGTGTCTACCTGTCTATCTTTTACCAAATAAACATATCTTTTACGATGATTGTTCATAACTTCTCGTCTACCTTGTAAATGTCTACTGCTGTGTAAACATGTAACTGTCTCTCTGTTTCTCTATTCTGTCTCCCAGATATACATCATAGGTCTGATTGCTGACAGAAAGTTCCAGCACTTCAACACAGTGTTGGAGGCCTACATCAAGCAGCATTTCAGTGCTACACTGGCCTACAAGTAAGTTACTTCCTGGATTGACTACTTCCTTTCAACTAATTCTTCGATGTTTTCTGTTTCTGTTGAGTTTTCTGAATGACAGTTCTCATCACCATGTATGTCTTGCATCAGAGTTTAACAAATTTAACAAAGTTTACCCATCAGACCACCAGAATCTTGAAAAGATAGGTACATTTATTTTATTATATATTTTACACTTTCTGTCTAAAAAAGAAGCAACAAAACAAATATAAACATTGTAAGCAAGCGACGTGTAAGAGCAAAATTTGTTGCATAGATAACAAAAAAGTCCTTTTGCTCTTCATAAGTGCTTCAAAAAGTTCAGTCACAAATCAGTATGCTCATGCAACACTCCTGTTAATGTCTGGAGAAAGCAAAGAGATTGCCTTATTGGATCTGCCACAGGAGACTTTATTATCAATTAAACTCACTGAGCGCGGCTGGCTATTTAAGGTTTAAATAATTTACTCTGGGCTCCATAAAATGACAGCTGAGCACTTAATTTAGGTATGACCTTAGACAACAGTGTTAGACTTTGTGTAAAAAAAACCCATCCGACACCTTACTTGTGTGAAAAGCAAGTTTTGCAATATTCCTGTTTGCATTTCAAATGAAGGATTACATGATCTTTCACGAGGCAAGTCTCCCACCTCCTGGGAATTATGGGATCTTTTAAATCCCATCATAATCTCAATAATGCTTTGTCATCAAGCCAAAAGACTGTTTTGTGGTTATTAGAAAGTTGGGCAGAACAGTTTAAAGTACAGTACCAGAAATGCATACATAGCATTAGTGTGGGTTGTCCCAGTTGGAATCAAATGCATAATTCTGTCAGGTACCACATTCTCCATGCTAACTTTAAATGCTACCTGAAGATCTAATGTTAAGTGATTAAATACTGCACAGTTTCCATCTGCCACTGGAGGTCCGTCTGTGTGTGGTGGCCTTTGGAACACTTGACTGAACAGGATTAGAGTATGCTACCTTACTGTACACCCGGCTAGCCAGAGTTTTAACCCAGCCTCTCTGTGGAGTAGCAGCTAAAGCACTCAGGCATGCTCCCCAAACACTTCATTCTGCTTCTTACTCTCTGATAATTCACTTCACTTGATCCAGTGGGTGCTAGAGAAAACATTTGTTTGCATTGCCAAAGCTTCAGTTAGGAAATTAAAAACATGTCTGACTCCTCCTGCTCTCTTTTCCCCCTGAATCTTTTCTTGCTTTCCCCGACCCCTTCTCCTCTTCTCATCCTCCTTTGCCCAATTATGCCTGTCACTCTCCTCCCCTCTCAACTGCTTTTCTTTCTTCCTATCTGTTCCTCACTCCATCTATTCATCTGTCTCTCCACCATCACTCCATCCCTCCCCTGT